CAATATGTGACAAGAATGCGTGCAAGCTGGTATACGAAAGCTTGCAGTAAATCCAAGCATGACACTAGCGTAAATACGCATCGCAGCTTAGAGAAGCGCTTTTTCGAATATGCGTCCGAGTCACCGACGTTGGTAGAAGAAAGAAAAAGGAATGATGGGGAAATGATGGATGGATGGATGGATATGGCTGTACCGTTTAGATCGGGCGGTGGCTAGCGCCACCAAGCCGTAATACTCAATAAACAAAAAACTAGATTTATTTTTTTTTCTTTAAGAAGTGAGTTTGAGCAATCGTACTTTGCAGTGAAGAGTTTAGTTTTAACTCGTGCCTTGACTTTAGCCACCAATCAGATAACCTCCTTCTAGTTAAGTGTACCCGCTTAAAGTCTATTTTGCCCTCCCGGTCTCTAAACCCCAGTGCTTTGAAAAACTCTGCGCCATCATTCTGAACTATAGGGTGAAGCCCTTTACAGAACATTATCAAGTGTTCGGCAGTTTCTTCTTCCTCTCCACACGCACTGCATACTGTGTCTACCCCTTCGTATTTGGCCCGATATGTCTTGGTTCGCAGTACTCCCATCATGGCCTCAAACAGTAGAGAACTACTTCGAGTATTATCATAGATCCTTTCCTTGGCAATTTCCTGCTTGAAAGTTCGATAGATCTCTAGTGCGGACTTCTTAATCATGCCCATTCTCCACATGTCAGTCTCCATTTCTTTCACTTTCTTCTTAACCGATAGTTCTTTTTGGTTTGGCCACCTGCTGTTTTCTAAGTATTTACCAGTCAACTTCCTGGTTCGCTTCCTCCATTTTGTATCGACATTCTTCATGTATAAGTAGCTGAAAACCTTCCTAGCCCAATGCTCTTCCCCCATTTCTCTCAATCACTTCTCAAATTTTATCTTGCTGCTAGCTTCCCTGCCCTGAAATGATGTCCATCCCATATCACCTTGTACTCCCTGATTTGGTGTATTCCCGTGAGCTCCTAAAGCAAGCCTACCTATTCCACGTTGCTTAATTTCTAATCTTGCTTGGACTTCTGATCTCATGCACAAGACCGCATTGCCGAACGTCAGCCCAGGAACCATGGCCCCTTTCCATACTCCTCTCACAACATCATATCTATTGTAATTCCACAGTGCCCTATTTTTCATGACTGCTGCATTCCTGTTACCTTTAGTCGTCACGTATATTTCGTGTTCCTTCAGGTACTCGGTCCCACTGCTTATCCATACGCCCAGATATTTGTACTTATCTGTTATCTCTAGCGTGACCTCCTGTATTCTAAGCTCACTACCTTCGTTGTCATTGAAAATCATGACTGCTGATTTTTCCTTACTGAATTTAAAATCTAACCTATCTCCCTCATTACCGCAGATGTCCATCAATCTCTGCAAATCTTCCTTGTTGTTGGCCATTAGCACTATATCATTTGCGTACAATAATGCTGGTAGTGCCTGATCAATAAGTTTTCCTTGTTTGACTAAAGAGAGGTTGAAGCCCAGTCCACTTCCCTCTAATTTGGCCTCTAATCCTTGTAGGTACATCATGAATAATAAGGGTGACAGGGGACACCCCTGCCTAAGCCCCCGTTTTACCTCTGCAGGCTTGGATACCTGTTTTTCCCACTTTATAACTACCTTCTTACCTTTATAGACATTCTTTAAAGATTAGTGACTACATGTTCCACGCCTAGTGTGTCCAGTATTCCCCACAATTCCTCTTGAACCACGCTATCGTACGCTCCCTTGATATCCAAAAATGCTAGCCACAGGGACCAGTGTTCCTTTTCTGCTATTTCGATGCACTGCGTCAGTGAGAACAGATTGTCTTCCAACCTCCTGTGTTTCCGAAACCCATTCTGCAGTTCACCCAGCACCCCCTCATCCTCTATCCATGCCTGCAGTCTTTCCTTTATAATCTGCATCGCCAGCCTGTAGATCACTGATGTCACTGTTATAGGACGGTAGTTGTTTATGTCAGCTTTGTCCCCCTTTCCTTTATAGATCATGCTCATCCTGCTAAATTTCCATCCATCGGGAACTTCACCATCAGTTATTATTTTGCTCACTGCCTCTCTCAAAGCCTGCTTTGACTTCGGACCTAATGTCTTTATCAGCATAATTGGAATGCCATCTGGGCCTGTTGATGTACTACTAGGAACCCTTTTCTCAGCCCTTTCCCACTCTCGTTGTGAAAATGGAGCCATTGCACCACTTGATTCGTCCTTGTTTATTGTGGTGCATAAAGTACTTCTTTGTTAAAATTTTTCTGTCACCCTTGTTCTTATATATTCAATAGCTTCGTCCCCTTCTAGCCTAGCACCTTGGGCAGTAGTTATAAAACTCTGCTCTAGGCTCGTCTCATTTTTTAGGGAGTTTAGATGGTTCCAAAATTTCGCAGCTGCCTTTCTATCCTTTTTATGTACTTCTGCCAGCCACTGAGCTCCCTTTCTTCTAATCTTTTCATTGATCAGAAGGGATGCATCCCTTCTACAGCTTAGAAAGGTTTCCCATTTTCTTTCAATATCATCTGTCGGTTCACCCCGCTGCTTAGCATGTCTGTGTTCCCTAGAGGCTTCCTGACGTTTTGCTATGGCTCTCTTAACTTCCTCATCCCGCCAACTTTTGGGTTTGTGTCTTCTTTTCCTGGGTGACTTGTCACGCGTCTTAGCAAGCTCTAGCTCAAAGAGTCTAATTAGATTCGTGTATGTCCACACTGTCTTATTATCCTCCGTGATTACTTTCTCAATTTGTTTAGTGGCTATTTCAATTTGCCTTTCTGGATAAAAATTTTCCTGTAGTTGCTCATCTTGTCTTCTTCCCACTTTCACTGCTCTTCCAAAACTTAGCTTGATACGTTTCTGATCGCTACCCAGACTTCTGGAGCCACCTTCATCTATGTGCATTCCCCTGAGCTTATCATACATCCTATGTGACGTCAGTGCATAATCTATCGTCGACTGCAGCCTTCCTACCTCCCATGTTATTTGCCCTTCACACTTCTCGGTACTGTTGCAAATGATCAAATCAAGCCTTTCACACATATCCATGATCATTTTGCCTGTCGGGTCGGTATACTCATCTTTATCTTCTATGTGCGCATTCATGTCTCCTAGTATAATTATCTGGCACTTTCGTCCTAGCTCCTGAATGTCTATTGATATACACTCTACCATTGCCTGGTTTTCCTCTCTGGCCTTTGCTTCCGTCCACAAGTACACGAAACCAAGGAGTGTCATTTGACCTGCCACTTTCCCTTTTAGCCATAAATGTTCCTTGCACTCCTGCTTGACCCTTTGCCAGTCTGTGATTTTATGAATGAATGCCCCAATACCACCCCCCTTTCTGCTGCCTTCTGTTCTATTACAATATTCCCACGCGTAGTCCGGATTGTTCGGAGGTTGTTCCATGTCCCTGAGATGTGTTTCTACAAAACCGTATACCATCGGCCTCTCTTCCCTTAGCTGTTCTTCTATCTCTTCCCTCTTCAGCCTGTTCCTACCACCCTGCATGTTAATATACCCTATGTCTGAATTGGCTCGGCGCTCGTAGCTACGTCTATATATGCCCCGGACTCTACCTATCTTAGATATTGGTGCCACTTTGGAATCGTATCTGTGCATAACACCTGTCGAAGAGTCTCCCTGGTTGTTTTCCTCGTTACTAGCTATCCTGCACCCCGAAGGGCTCGCTTGCCCCCCAAAAAAGCTACTGCGCGTCCTGCAAGTCGCCAACCCACCTCATGACCTAGCCGCCCATCGAAGTGAATTCGGTCTCGCTGAAAACCACCCCACCTATGCACCTCTCTGTTTATTTCCACCACCTCAAAGCCTTTCTCTCGACTTATCCGCCATATCTCTTGGTTTGCGTTGACAACCGCTCTTTGCAGGTTGCTATCACGCACCGGTACCTCCGGTATCGTGCATATCACTACCTGTACCTTAGGAGAAGTGGCGCGCATGTCATCGACGCATTCGCCAGTATGGTTGCTAGTCCTGCTGTATCTTCATTTAAGATTCAAGGAAACAGCAGGCGGCTGAGGCGCCACCAAGGGAGGAAAATCAAAAGGCATAAGAAGGGTTATGCCGCCACCGTACAGTTCCGCAAGACGGGTATAGTGTGGCATAGAGCCACGGTTACGCGAAGATTAGAGGAAAAAAATCGGAGCAACACAGTCTGTATAAAAACACAGTTATAGTAGGTGCGTTGCTTGTAAGTATACCATGCTTGTAATCAGTCAAGCCTTTTAAATTACTGCTTTATTGTTCAATTTGAGGGTCTGACCTATTATAGTTTGAAGTTTGAAAAGCAGCACGTCGACGAAAATGTGCTCTATTTTCGGAAAAAAAGCGTAATTTTATTCCAATTCTATTCCGTGAAAATTGCGCTTAATTCCATACCCATTCCATACCTCCAAGCTTTGTCCCCATTCTATATGCATACCCATTCCGTTCTGGGGTTCCGAGAATGTGGAATGATTCCGGATTAATTGCAATTCCTGAGTGGCAACTCCGCAACATTGGTTCACAGCGTCTACAGTGTCAATTCGTCATATCGCCGTAGTTTTAATTTGACCATTTACATCAACTTTTGTGCGCCCACGAAGTTGTCCGGGCTCGATAACATTAAAGTGCCATTCCTGCCTCCGAACACAATGGTTTCCCTGCAGCCGATGGAACAGGGAATGATACAGTTCATGAAAATCCGCTATCGATGGCAGGTACTCGAGCGGATGCTGCTCTGCTTGGAGTCAGGCAAGCAGAGCAGCATAAGTATATATATCTGGCATGTGTTGTCTGGCTCCGGTATACGAATAACGTTAACACTACGTACCAAGGAACCAAAAAAACATCTATTTTACAGTGTCGCAGTATTGCATCAGAACTCCTTCAACACAGAACTGTTCGCGTAGCATTCGCGAATAAAGCGAAACATTCGGTCTCTCATCCGTGAGGGTCGTATTACATGTAAAAACGTTAAATTGAACATTTTTCAGGATCCCTCAATGCGGCTGGGGTGTCGATATGGCGGATCACCCGGCAACGGCGGTGGCTTCCAGGAGCTGATGGAGCATAGATTCTTCGCTAACATCGATTGGCGGACGATTGCTGGTGAGTCACGGTATTTATTTATTTATATATTTATTTATTTATATATTTATTTATTCATATATTTATTTATATATTTAATTATTAGGCGTGCAGCTCCTTATTGCCGCACCCCGCCGTCGAAAAAAATGCAGGAATATCAAGGACAGAATAAAATTAAAAGCGAGGCCTCCTGCGTGGCAGTTGAACATTCAAGCATACAGCCATACAACCACAAATGGGCAAGTTAAGGGATTAGTCACTCGTACTCACTCACCCAACATTTTCAGCCTTCGCACTCACGTTCACATCCACGTCCACTTAAGCCAGCTCTCTGTAAAGCCGGCTATATAGAGAGTTGGCTTGCGAAGGTTGTCAGTGCGACACAGTGCTGAATTGTATAATTGGTTACAACTTTAGAACTCTGCGGCATTTCCTGCTCATATTCTGATGCAGAAAAACCTGCACCAATGGGCGCACACTCGAGAGTGACGTCATTAGCCGGGCAGTCGGTGAACATTGCCGAGTATATAGTACGGACCATTTCCTGAGCTCGTATAGTTGGAAGTGATCGGCAGTGGTGCTTCCGTGGTCTGGGCCTGCATTCCTCCAGCGTGGGTCATGAAGAAAGACAAGACGCTGAAAGACGTAATTCGTACCAATTCAGTGAACTTAAGCGTGCTATGTAAAAGGTAAAAACAGCGCAAACATTCATTGCAGGGTGGCCTAGTGACTAAGGCTGCGGACTCATAGGTCGCGGGGTCGACTCCCGGTCGTGGCGGCTGAATTTTTGATGGAGGCTAAAACGCTTGGGGCCCGTGTGCTTAGATTTAGGTGCAAGTTAATCCTTTACTGCCTGGTGTTGCGAATCTGCGACAAGCCTAAAAACTTCGAGCAAGCAAGTCACGGAATGTGTGCTGCCTTTAATTCCGGCTGTCAGGTACCGACGGGAAACGTATAGCTTTCAGCATGAAAAATCTAGTGCTATCTTTTTCAATGATTTTTACGCTGGAACCAATTGTTTAATAGCTGATGGCATAGAGCGCGTGCAAGAGCGCCCACTTCTTCGTTCATTCTCACCTGGCCGACGCAAGTTTTATGCTCAATTATTATGTTTATTTGGTGTCTACGCACTCGGATGTGGCACACATGTAGCGCAATTCTGAAGCACGTTTTTCATTGCGAGGTCATCGTTCCTGTGCCTTGTGGAGAATTCCTGACATGCATAAAGGTATACCTTAAAGGTGCATTTTGGATAATTTACCGGTGGAATCATTCAAAGGTGGCTATTTAAAGCTGGAAAATGGAAACAATTTTTCTTTCCTTCGACGGTTTCGTAATTCAGCCATTAAAGGGTTAAAGAGCCCCATGGGGGTGAAAAATTCTGGAGACCCGCATGCACACGGCGTCCCTCATAATCGTATGGTAGTTTGGGGACGTTAAACGTACGCCAATATTTATTACTACAATTAAAAACAACGCAAAATAGACGAGACGAACGGAGAAACACGCGTGACTGTAGCACTGACTAACAACTGCCTGTTTTATTGCTTGAACGCCACATAAGGGAAAAGGTAGGAACGCAAGTCTCGTGGAACTTCAAGCTATTCGTCGTGACAAAATGAGTAGAATCAGTTCATTAACCAGACCAATCAATTTTTGAAGAGAGCACTTAAGCATGCGCGTGAGAGATAGTTAATTTCTTATTTTTCTTATGAATGGTTTACTAACGGGTGATGTCATGGTCACCCCTTAGTTTGATAGCGAAAGCCTCAGCTATCGGACGATGCACGCTTGGGCATCTTCCGGGCCCATCACTTTGCAGTCTCAGAACTTAAGCGTGCATGCGCACAGTGCTGTAATGAAGCGCCAATGAGATTGATCGATTGATTGATATGTGTGCTTTAACGTCCCGAAACCACCATATGTATATGAGAGACGCCGTAGTGGAGGGCTCCGGAAATTTCAACCACCTGGGGTTCTTTAACGTGCACCCAAATCTGAGCACACGGGCCTGCTGCATTTTCTCCACCGTCAAAAATGCAGCCACCGCAGCCGGAATTTGATCCCGTGACCTGCGGGTCAGCAGCCGAGTACCATGGCCCCTAGAACACCACAACGGGGCACAAGCGCCAATGAGCGTCTCGTCTGATTCGAGCTGTTTTTACCTTTTACAATGTGCGACAAACTAGCCCAACAAATCACTTCTGGGGAAGTGCGCAAATGCGTTTAACTTAGTGGCCAAAATATGCGGCCGAAAAAAAGTGTTGAGGGCAGCGCCGCGGTGTAACTAAGGAAAATATCCGGAAATATTGTGATTCACGTGCCGATTATACAGTCGAAAAACATAGTGGCAGGTTTTGTCCGGCTCCCTTTAAAAGCATTTTTTCCCACGCGTTGGAATTCGCTGTGACGTAACTGAATTCTAAAATAATGCTTGATCCAGGAGATGTACGCCAAAATCCAGACACAAGCTTCCGGAACCCAAGAGAAGATGCTTCAGCTTACGGAAGTAAGGCGTAATTACTTCGTGAGTCGAACTTCACATATGCGTTACAAAAAATTGACGCATTAAATTCATTATTCAACAAAAGGAAAATGCTCATTTTCAAGTGACTGCTGTTTTAGTGGAATACTTTTTTTCGTATGTTTAATTCACTGCGCCTATCAATAACGACGTATAATTAGTGTTACTACAACATGGACAAGAGTGTTGGCGAGTTCTTGTATAGGCAGGGAAGAACGCCAAATAATAGAAAAGGACGTTGCGTGTATCCAAAAAATGGTCAGTAATACTGTATATAGTTCATAGGAATAACAACACTTTACAGCCAAGGTCGCGGTAATTGCAGACGTAATAAATTGGCATGGAGCAGCAAAGGGCGCTAAACGAAAGGCCACCTTGCGCTCGCTCGAAATTGAGCGAGTCATAATACCAAAAAACCTCAAATACCCTGCTAAGTCTATTATTCTGTCTAACTCAACTGCTCAGCCACTGTCCCTCAGCGCGACAAATAAAAAAAAAACGACAAGCTCGATTGACTCTTAAGCTTCTGATTACTGCGAACAGCTGTCATCTCCAGAAGTTAACTCTGTGAAGAACGTTTCCCAAGTTTTTGTCCTGGATGTCACTAATGATAACTCCGCCAGAATCATGACACGTTGCCGTCCATGCGTTGTTGTCTTACCCCGTGTTCCGCCCGCATTGCCATTATCTTAACAACAGGAAACGCAAGATACGAGCATGTTCATAGCGAGCTCAGCTTACGTTTGCAGCCGGTGTCCTTTCTGTCTATATGTCTGTTCTCGTTCCGCGAGCCTGCGCATGGGAGAACCTGCGGCATAATGCTAACACTGACGGAAACGAGGAGAAAATAAACGCGCAGGCAGGCGCCGCATCTCTGTCGATGTTGAGAATGAATGCGTTGTGTGCGTACCGTGCAATCGAGGAGCCTGACAGAAATCCGTCGACCTCGGGAGCGAGCGCTTTAGGTTAAGACGGCGGCAACCGCATTGCATAGTCTAGATCTACTTCAAAACTAGAGATCGCTGGTTCTATCCGGGTGACATTGTTTTAAATCTCATCGTGCCTCAACATGCAAGCTGGGGCACGATTAGCCCTTACAACACTTCTAACTGCTGTTCGCAGTAAATTGAAAATAAAGAAACAGAAAAATGGAATAACACAATTATGCTGTGGCATTTGGCACGTGTTTGAAGTGTTCAGCGAAATCCGCGTACACATTTATTGTCAGAATGCACTTAGACAGAAAACTATATCATCCCCAAAAGAAAGCCGTGTGTTCAACTTCAACTGGAAGTGTAAAATTAGGTTTTGAATTATCAGACATTATCGATGTACCAAATAGCCCAAATTGTCGTGATTTAAAACCTCCCCTCGCTCAGTCAAGTTGCAGGTCCTTCAGTGTGAAATGTTGACGCACGAGTTGTTTAAAGTACTTTAACCGAAAATGGAAAACGCAAACTTGACCATGTTTTTCATTTTCGGTTAAATGAAGCGCTTTGTTCTCGTAATGGGTTTGATCATTTGCGTGTAGTCACAGTATTTTCTTTTGTCTGGATTAGAATGTGGTTCACGTGTATAGTAAATGCTTCCTAAAGTTAAGCATCTATATTTCCTCTTAAAAAAAAAAACGCCCTAACACTTCAAAGAAGCTGCGTGACTTTGCTCTCTCGCGTCTGTTTTGGTAAAACTGGTCACTGGCGGGGGGAAAACAAAATGGCGTGTCTGGTACGAGCTAAGCCTCGCAGCTGACGGGAGGTGCGGCAGGGTTGCAGCGGGTACTGACGGACCATCGCGTCCGTCGACCCGATGGCGCGCCTCGTTGTGCCGAGTACGACAGCTCATGTGCGACGTATTTCGTTCGTGCCAGCACCTGCCGGTCGGGCCGTACGCCAACGAAACTATCTGGACATAAGGTACGGCTCTACACGCCTGGTGTTTTTTTTTTTTCTGATCATCTTTAGACATTCCGTTCTTTGCACGGCTCTCGCCGTGTGTGACTGTCGCCTTACGATAGATACGCCGGTGTACGATATTGAACACGTTATATATAAACTCAACTTTCTCGGTTACAACCTAAAAAAAAAAAAAATGTGAGCTTCGCGGCCCACTGCCATCGCTATCCCACTGTGAATTGGCAAAAGTCTTCCATCCAATAGTGCTCGGTCAGTGTCGTGACGTCAAGCACTTCGTAAGTGTTGCAGATAGCTGACCCAAGCAGGTACAAGTTTGTGAGGTGGCAAGTTATCTTTATATCATTTATATCGCAATGATTACAAATAACATCTGCTACATTTTCATTGACTTAATTTGTCTGTTAGTTTAAATATTGGTTAGCGATCATAAACTTGAAAGTGCAGGTAAATTTTTTTTAGGGATTCTGACTATACGTTGCTCAGGCGAATGTGGGTTAGGTGGGGACGATGAACCTTCAACCTCTGATCGGAATATTGGTAATGTTGGCCGGAAAAAAATAGTTGCGTTTTGACCGGGAACGGTGTGCCACGGCTCAGTGGGCGCAGCTGACATTTTTATTCTTAGGTCGTAACCGAGCATTGTCCTGCATTTCGCATTCATGTACAGTCTTCTCTTCACCTCTTGAGTGCGTGTTATTTCTATCGTGCGTTTTCCTCGCGTACCTGTTTGGTTGGCCCCAGTATAGAGACCTATTCCGTATGTTTATAAATAGCGGTAGGCGCCGTCGACATACAGAGGCTCTTGTAGCGACGCGTAGGCTCCGCCCAGCCCAAAGCTTGCCACCGCCCTTTATGATCATTGATCAGCAGCTGCAACAGGTGGTCGAAATTTCCGGAGCCTCCACTACGGCATCTCTCATAATCATATGGTGGTTTTGGGACGTTAAACCCCACATATCAAGCAATCAATCAATCAGCAGCTGCAAAGCTGTTTCCGAGCACAGCGCGTCGGGGAGCCTCCCCGCGACCAGACAGAGCCTACGCGTCGCTACAATACCTCAGTATGTCAACGGCGCCCACCGCTATTTACAAACATGCAATAGGTCCATACTGGTTACGGCTCTGTGGATACTGAAGCATGCAGCGAAACTATATCAGAAGCTTACGAAGACATTTTCTTGCCCCGTTTCCGTAAGCTTCAGCAGTAAACACTTACGAAGTTAACTATCGTTCCGCGATAACCCCCATGTGTCAACCGCGCGCACAATGGGCTTAAGCTGTGCCCTCCAAACCAATGTCTGGAAAGCGATATTTCGCCGATAGACGGAATGATTTTTTGTGCCGACTTGCCACATTGTGCTACGCGTAAAAAAAAGGCCGATTCTAAGCGGCTGTAAAGCGGCCTTCTCATAACGAAGTACAGGGCTTAATCATCTGTGGAATACAGGACAACATGAATAAATATAAATATATTGATTTGGCTGTATGTGTGACGAGGGTGGGCACTAAGAATTATGCAGCGTAAAGCAATAGGCAATGAATTGCAGCAGTGAATACCTTGGCTATACCTGAGTTGCGGCCAAATGCAACAGTATATAAAACATGAACAGAATCGCTAATTGATGTTGAATGGCCACGCTCTCCTGATTACCCCCCTTTTTGTTATGCATAAAGCCTTCGTCTTAATGTATCACATCTATGTAGTTTGAAGCAGCACTGTGGATGCTATAGATATCCATACCGATCGAGGAAAGTGAAAGTATTGATGCAGTAGATTCATATATATATATATATATATATTTATATATATATATATATATATATATATATATATATATATATATATATATATATATATATATATATATATATATATATATATTGGAGGAGCGTTTGTCGCCGGATCCGGGAATAATAGGAGAATAAAAGGAGTTTGACTCACAAGTGAAAAGATTTTTTACTTGACGTTTCGACCGTGGGCCCGGCCTTCGTCAGAATGAAACAAAACACAGCAATGGTAACCACTTATATGCCAGTTGGTCACATGGATTGTAGATAGGTACAATCAATACACGTGGAAAAAATGCGTTCAAAATGTATCAACATACTGTTCGTCAGTAACATACTCGCGTAACAAGAAGATTCAACAGCAATTGACAGCTCATGTGGTGACGAAAAAAACACCGATAACAGAAGATTAACACGTGAAAAACAGCACCTACACTGTTACGGACAATTTTCAAGGATATAATAATAAAAGGTGATCAATGCGCATGACATATTACTGGCGCAAGAACGTTAAGGTGCCGGGATTTTCGTTGAGACCGAAAGCAATGGTACTGAATTTGTGGATGAGATATGATTCCCGGACTTCTCTGTCACGATGGGAGCTAAAGCCTGACTCTAGAATTGTAGCTTTTATCTTGCTGAAGGAATGACCTGGAAGCGCAACGTGTTTCGATAACGGTAAGTTAGGAAGGGAAATCGCGTGTGCTTTATGATTATTAAAACGTAGACGAAAGCTGGTCTCGGTTTGTCCAATGTATTGCATACCACATACAGAGCACTCCAGAAGATAGATTACGTTCGATGTGTAACAGCAAAAGTTACCCTTTATTTTAAGACTGAAACCGGAGGCGGTACTCTGAGCTGAAAGTGATGTTGTCATATGTGCACAAATTTTGCAGCGTGATTTATTGCATGGATGGCAACCCGAATATTGCGGTTTAGTAACTTTAGAGGATGTGACTAAGTCGTGTAAATTTTTAGAGCGTCTGTAGATTACTTTAGGTGGAATCGGGAAGATTGTTCGGAGACGTTGGCTTTGCAAGAGGATATTATGATGCTTTTGAAGAATACAGTTTACTCTGGGAGCCGAAGCTGAATGAGTGAGGACCAGGTTGGTTAGGCGTGAGGTGGCAGTCTTTTTCGGTGCCTTTAATAAGGTCTTGCGTTCGACGAGGTCAGCCTTTTTGAAAGCGTCTTCTACGAGACGGACAGGATAATTCTGTTTAACTAAAGATTCCCTCAGGGAAGTGCAGTTCTGGTGATAATCAGACTCATGTGTACAAACGCGTTTGAAACGGAGTGCCTGACTGTATGGAATGCTGGTCTTCCAGTGCTTTAAATGACTACTGTCATTTAAATTAATATCTTCATTTTCTTCATTTTCTT